CTCTCTCTCTCTCTCTCTCTGTGTGTGTATAACAACGAAACAACAACAGTACGTACGTCTTCCTTCCTTCCTACTAGTTAAAGTTAAACGTAAACTAAACTACTCTCTCTCTCTCTCTCTCTCTCTCTAGTTTAAAAGAACCAAAATAGTCTCTCTCTCTCTAATAGTTTAAAGGAGCCAAAATAATCTCTCTCTCTCTCTACTAGTTTAAAAGTAACCAAAATAACTCTCTCCTCTCTCTCTCTCCTCTCTCTCTCTCCTCTCTCTCCAATCAAAAAAAGCAACTGAAAAGCACAGGCAGAATATGGCCAAAAAGCAAGGCACCTTTCACGGCGCAAGCTGTCCCACTCTGCAATAATTTATCAAACATTACACTAAACCCTAACTAATCAAAAACCCAAATCAAAGTTTTTTTTTCCCTATCCAATGAATCCCAACCCTTAAACCTTCAATTCTCAAGAATAATTCGATCCAATAAAAAACCCCGAATGAAGAAACCCAAGAAAACAGTATTAAATTTCAGAAAATGCGAAAATCCAACTTAAAAAAAAAAAAAGGTAATTAAAAGATGATGTAATGCGATTTCTCTAAAGCCAAACGGTAAACAATTCCAGTAAAATTAGGGGGCAAAAAAATCCAAACATCACAAAAACAGGGACTGAAAATAAGTATACCTTGACTTCTCTAAAGGGAATCAAAAGGCTCCGTTCGAGCTTAGAATCAAGGCCCAAAATGCGAGCAGCATATCTAAAATTACGACTCGTAGCGACCAAGGCATTCATTTTTGCCTCAAATGAGATATATGAAACAGAGGACTGAAGGAGAGAGAAAGTTAGGAACGCTGAAAACGTTTAAAGAGAAAAGAGGAAAAATGGAGATGACAATAAGGAAAGGATACAAGATTAGGCATGACAAAGTTACTGGAAGCGTGGAGAAAGAGAGAAAGTGGAGAGGTATTTATAGAAGAAACGGAACTGATTTTAGAGAGAGATAGAGCCTACCCCAGGTGATGCAGATACCGGGGTATGGGATCTAGAGAGAGAAAGACAGAAGCTACGCATTGCTCTCTACTCATCAATTGACGGCGCGAGCTCTGGAAATGGTCGCAATTCACTCTTCTTTTGCCACTTTAACACGTGAAAATTATGGATATCTAACCCCCTCATATCTTTCATATCACACAGCTAAGTATATAAAGTTTTCAGGAAAGGTGCGCCTAAAATACCCAATAGAGTTTTTTCCTATGATGGAAAACTCTCAAATCGACCTCAACATTCATAAATATTAAAAAAAAAAAAGAAAAAAAAGAAAGAGATTTCTGTTCTTAAAAGTAGTTCATTTTCTAATGGGTGCGGTTTTTATAAGATTGCTACTTTAAACAATCCAATTAAGGCTTATCTCTAAATTTTATCATAACATATAATTTTGCTATAAAAAATTATTAAGATTATCTTAAAATCTATTTTCATATCTAATTAGAACCTCTTAAACTCCAAAAATAGTTGAAATCAATGAGAGCTATGAACATATGAAAATCTTGAAAATAAACGGCCTAGATAATGTGTTGCAAGATGCACTATTTTTTATACTCAAAAACTTTTTTTATATATATCCATACATCTCGATGTCGAGATGATCAAATAGAGGATTTTTCAACATTAAAACGACCTTTCCAATAGATTTTTGAAGTGCATCTGTAATTCTACATTTTAAAGTTACAACCTTACATAAACTTTTTCTTTCCTAATATATATCTAGATCGTCTATTTTCAATATTTTCAAGTGTTTATAGCTCTGCTTGATCATCATCATTTCTAGAATTTAAAATTTTATAATTAGGGGAAACAATAGATTTCCATATTAAAGAATTTTAGAGCAAGGACCTTTGTGAAAAGATAATTGTACCCCACATTATTCTTGTAGTTGTTCTTTCATTGTATATGTAATGGTAATACAATGATGTAATATACACATTTCTTTCTTGTTATATGTAATATACATTTTCATATCTTATTATAAACTCATCTAAAAAAGAAAGAGTAATACACTTTCGTATCTTGTTTGAATTTTGTTTTTATTACTCCCCTCAAACTTGGCTGAGGAAGTCGTTGAAGCCCGAGTTTGAAGCATAGATCTCGAAAAATATCTTATGGCAAAAGCTTGGTGAAGATACCAACTACTTGATTGCGAGATGAAACAAATTGAACGATAAGTAATCCAATTGCAACATTTTTCACAAACAAAATGATAATCTAACTCAATATGATTTTATCCGGGCATGAAATATGGGATTATTTGTCATGTAGAAAGCGTTGATATTGTCATAAAAAAGTATTGGTGGTTGAGGAAGAGACACCTCAACATCTCGAAGAATAAAATAAAGTCATATCAATTCTGCAGATTGGTATTCTGCTTCAGCACTTGAAGGAGTCACAGTTGATTGTTTATTAGCACTCCAAGATATGTAGTTGGAACCAATATAGGTGTAGAAACTAGTGGTTGAACGGTTAGTGTTTGGACACGTAGCCCAGTCTGAACTATCAGATAAAATTCTTATACCACAAGACTGTGTACCACTGAGATAATGAAAATCTGCTTCACTGCCTGAAAATGTGCAATTGTAGGGGTATGCATTACTTGACACATTGTATTAACCGCCACAAAAATAGTGTGGGGCACAATTATCTTTTCACAAAGTATATTTCTCGTTACATGCAATATATAATTATTATATTCTCCTCTTAAAAGGAAAGAATAATATTGTTGGAAATGTGGCCTATCAAGCCCTTTTCTCCCTGAAATTGATTTTTTCATTAATGGTACAAAAGCTATATTGAAGTATATGTTAAATCCCATGTGGTTAACATGAGGCAATGTCATATACATGGATCCATTTTGAGCTGTATCACCAGAGGGAAAAACTCTGTATCACTGGAGGAAAAACCCAGTGGTGTGTTTGAATTCCTTGTAAATTGTGGGAATGTTTGGTTGACATCCTATTATATAAGTCATTAGTGGACTAATGACATGTTTAGCTCGTTACATAGGATTAACAGTTTGGTGACAACTTGTTAATCCTAATTAGTTCTCTATAAAAGGATGTTAATCCCTCTAGAAAAGATAGAGAGAAAATAATAGAAAAATAGAGATGGAAGATGAAGTTAATTTACCGAGTGAACTGTCAATGTACCCTGTCATCGGATGGCTTAGTCTATAGGTTTTAATACGGAACATTAAGTCCCTCATGTGATCCGAGTAAGTTATATATCGATTTTATTTTTATTTTATTATTATTTTTTTTTTTATTGAGACAAACAATGGTATCAGAGCGAAGTTGCGAGATGCGAGGGGCTTGGGTTATCAAAAAGGCTCTGCTCTTGTAGCCTGCCAAAGGGTTTGAAAGGACTCTTGACTTCTCTGATGGTGTTGATTTCTATTGTCATCGAGTTCATTTTTTGTTCATTTTGTAGCATCTCAAGCTTTCTTTGCAGTGCTACATGCTCTGTTTTGATACAAAATGAAACACCACGTTTCTGGTAGACTTTTTTTTTTTTTATGCCCAAAACATCCGCATGAACCCATGCATCTTTCCATAGTGAACCATCTCTAACTGAGACACATTCCATAGAGGATCTGTCGTGTTTGCTTTTTCTAACTGCTTCATCATGTAGATTTGCTCCCGCTTATCTCTAGTGTGATCTCGTAGTTTTTTTTGTCCCATTCCCATGCTCCTTGTAATGAATCATAATTTGGTTGGTAGAAACAAAATTGTTCGTCAGTTATCTTCGTACAAGCTCTTCCAAAAACGAATCTACTGACGGGGAATATATTTTTCGAAAGTTACAAGCCCCCAAAGCACAAAACATAAAGTATAGTGCTGTGAAGAGATTTGACCAAAATGTAAGATGATTTGCAAGGATCCATATCACTGTATCAGGGTGAACATCAGGGGCAAGCGATAAACCTATTCCGGAACAAATGATTGTTTTGGCATTTGAGAGTTCATCCATATGCAAGGTGCCCTTGATTTCTGTAGTCACATATTACAAATTTTTTTTAGTAAGTTTGAATATGAAAAGTATTTTGTAGGTTTCAATTATAAAGCATTTGTGGTAAGTTCTTTATTGCCTTAAATTAGAATTTGACAAGTTTCAATTATAAAGCATTTGTGGTGAGTTCTTTATTGCCTTAAAATAAAATTTGGCAAGTTTCAATTATAAAACATCTGTAGTTTTTATTGCCTCAAATTAGAATTTGGCAGGTTTCAATTATAACGCATTTATGATAAGCTTTTTATTGCCTTAAAATAAAATTTGGCAGGTTTCAATTATAAAGCATTTGTAGTAAGTCCTTTACTGCCTTAAATTAGAATTTGGCAGGTTTCAATTATAAAGTATTTGTGGTAAGTTTTTTATTGCCTTAAATTAGAATTTGGCAGGTTTCAATTATAAAGCGTTTGTGATAAGTTCTTTATTGCCTTAAATAAGAATTTGGCAGGTTTCAATTATAAAGCTTTTATGGTAAGCTCTTTGTTGCCTTAAATTAAAAATTTGTTGACATTCAATTTTATCTTAATAGCATGAAATGAATGCAAATCAATGTGCAGTCCTATTTTAAAATTTAAGTTTCTCTCTCTCTCTCTCTACCAACTCTCTATCTCTCACTCTGCATTATTTAAAAATAAATAAATTATAGAAAAGGTTGGAAGATCTTCTTATTTATTTCCAAGATGGCTAATTATAAATATTATGATGAGACAAATATTCGTTATCAATTTCATTTAAAGAGATACTTGATTTGAAAATTTTCATGGTGATGAATGATTATGAATATTTCAAGTTCAACAATATCTATGTATATTTGTGCTAAGATTTTTTTTCTCCTTTCTTTCTATAAGCATTAATAATATTTTGTTTAGATTGATAATGTTCTTTATTATTTTTAACCAAGTTGTGACTTACTTTTTGGTATTTCTTTTTGCTTAGTATTCTTTCGTTTATTTAGAAAACAAAATTTGTACCCATAAGGATGTGATGTTAACCTATTATTTGTCAATGAGATGTAATTACATTGACATCTTATCAAGTTTTGTGGAAGTCCAAATGACATTAAAAATATTTAATAATATATCATGTTAGATTGAATTATCGTATTGGTGATAGATGTCCATTTACCAAATTAGAATTGAATTTGTTAGCTCTATAATCATAAACGCACATTAAGAAAATGAGAGCAATTACTAATCTAGCATGCTAGACTATATTGGACTATTTTTTGTTATTATGATGACAACCAAATATTGAGTATAGTGGAAACCATTATTGAATAGTTTGATAACATCATCGATTTGAGACTTTTGAACATGTCAACCAAAAATGATATTATATTTCTTTCTTTTATTATTGTTAAGGTTGAGACCACTTAAAGATTTTTTTTATGTATATAATAATACCAACAAATTTGTTAAATTATTATTGTTTTTATTATTTTGACCTATTATCCGAATCTGAGCTTTGGTCTAAAAAATAACATGTTTAAGAAATAGGTGGAAGCAATAAGTTTTTTTTTTTCTCTTGGCTAAAAGATAGATGTAAATAAAATTCAACGTGTTGGTAAATAATTGGTAAGGTATGTGAGAAATCCCATGCATGTAGCATGAGGCAATGCCATATACAAAACCATTGAGGCTAAGAAATCCAAGTGTGGTGTTTGACCACATTGGCAAGGTATATGTGAAATCATATGTAAGTACCATGAGGCAATGCTCATATACAAGGTTATTGAAGCCAGAAAATCTAACTGTGATGTATAACCACATTGGTAAGGTATATGAGAAATCTCATACAGTTAGCATGAGGCAATGTCATATATAATCCAAGTGTGGTGTTTGACCACATTGGCAGGGTATATGTGAAATATCATGTAAGTAATATGAGGCAATATCATATGCAAGGTTATTAAGGTCAGAAAGTCTAAGTGTGGTGTATGATCACATTGGTAAGGTATATGAGAAATCTCATGCAGGTAGCATGAGGCAGTGCATATATAAAACCATTGAGGTCAAGAAATCCAAGTGCGGTGTTTGACCATATTGACAAAGTATATGTGAAATCCCATGCAAGTAGCATAAGGCAATGCCATATGTAAGGCTATTGAAGCCA